CTTACTGAGGCAGCATGGAAGTACTGTGTAGCATTACCTCATTCCCATTGCAGAACTAGTCCTATGGTTGATGACGGAAATTGTAAACATTCGCTGTTGAACTCTTTTGCCGTCTTCAGGACTTTCTTTTCTACCTTGTAGAGCTCTGTGCCTTATGGGTCTTTGAATCATTAATCGGAAGTACCTCTTCCCACAGATATTACAGGAATATGTCAATCTGGTGGAAGATGTGGACACAAAGTTGAACTTAGCCACTAAGTTCAAGTGCCATGATGTCGTCATTGATGTGAGTCCCCAAGAAATGGGAGTCCTCCGTTAGATCCTCAGTGGCGGGGGAGGGGGGGGCAGTGGTGGGGATTATAATATTCTCTGTCCAAGATCCTGAGGTGCTCCCACCAGTTTTGGCTGAATGAACAGAATAATCTGGCAAGAGTTCGTTTGGAGACCAGCATTCCTGTATTATTTTCCCAGTCCTCTGACTGGTTTCTCTGTGTTTTTATAAACTTGTCATACTTAGAGAATTCATAGAACTAAATCAAGCTACATAAGCTGTGTAGTCTTCTCTCCAACATGGAGTTCTGTAGGCATTGGACCCCACTGTCATCCACTATAGCCTCTTAGCCTCTCTTTGAGCCTTGGGTCAAAGTGATAATGACAAAAAGAAATAAGCCCTCATGTGGGCACAGTAGCACACACCTGTAGTTCCAGCTACTCAGGAGCCTGAGGAGAGACGATTGCTTGAGCCCAGGAGTTTGAGACCATCCTGGGCAAAAAGAACCCTGTACAGAAGGCTGATTGGAGGTTCGCATTGTTTGTTTTGATGCACAGACCTGCCGGGACCTGAAGGATCGTCAACAGTTGCTAGCATACAGGAGTAAGGTAGATAAAGGATCAGCAGAGGAGGAGAAGATTGATGCTCTTCTTAGCAGCTCGGTGAGCAGCTACAGTTTATCCCTCCAGCAGGCTCAGGAGACAGTTCACAAAACAGTACCAAGTGTATGTTCCCAAGGCCTGGAAGGATTGCAGTTGGCTAATCCACATGGATGTAAGGCTCTCCTATGGCCACAATGTCAAAAGCACTGCTTTGAATAGCAGAAATTACTCCTGAGATGCAGTATGATAGGGGAGTAATCTGGGGACCTCAAGCTAAGACTTAACTGTAATGCTCTGATAATAGTTAAACCTAGCAGGTAGGAGAAACTAAATATTGAAAGTATGAAAACATGTTTCAGATTCAGAATATCCAAACTGTATGGTCTCATGGGGATGGATGGGACCTACCTATTGAAAATAAGAAGTGGGTGAAATAGATGTTAGCTATCTGGGGAGCACAGCTGGTTCATCTCTCACAGCATGAAATTACTGAGCTTTTTGTTAATATGAAAGTTAGTTCCCTGTTAGGTATTTTGGGACCTACTTTAGAGTCAAATGACCAAAATTAGGCTTATAAAATACAAAATAGGTGTTTCATGCATCTTTGAATAAATGAACTCCCCCACATATTTTTAAAAATTTCTCAACATCACCTACCTCCCGATCTGATTCTACTTTTTCTTTTCCTTACATTACCTAGCTATGAGCCTTGTTTTGTTGCATTTTCTCTGCCTTGCTATAGGGATAAGTGAAAACTGATCATACACCTTCATTGTTTCCTCTTTCCACAGCAAATTCGATGGAAGAATTAAGTGGCATTGACTACCCTGAAACCTGCCTCATTTCCTCCTTTCCTGCCTGTGAAAGTAGAGAGAGCTCCTCTTTGAGAGAGCTGCAGCATCACATCGCTCGGGCCCATTATCAACAGGCAGTGCCAGCTACTCTTGACACAGATAACTTCAGACTGAACTTCTGTCCAAGGAACATCATCTGAGGATTGAGATCTAAAGCTTTGACTCATGAGAATGATTCTCTCCACCTGGTGCTCATATGAAGGTGGGAGTGATTTCTAGATTGGGCCCCTACTGGGTAAGATCTCACTTGGTCTGAGAAAAGTGACTGCTCCAGAAAGGAAGAAGTACAGGTGTCATAGGGTGACCACTCCATTCCACTCAGCTAATTATGATCCAGGACTTGGTGCTGGACATTGGCAGTTCTGCTCTGAATGAAGTCAGAACAGAACCAAAATGGCCTCAGGAAGGAATGCCAGTGTTTCCCAAGACCTGCTGGAGATGCACTCACACCAGACTGCACAGACCCCTCCACATTATGCCACACATTGCCTAGACATTGTGTTTCCTCAGCCATTTCCCCTCTGCTGCCCAGTTTACTCTGTCCAAAACCCTAAGGTTCTTCTCTCACTTGAACACAGATGACCTTGCTTGGGTGATGAGACATCCCCTTTATCTCTTCCGCTACTGCTAGCCCAGACCTGTCACTTTCTAAGAAGCTCAGATGCAGCAGTGCTGGAGAGCTCTCTCTTTATGCAAAAATCTCATTTCACCAGGAGCTTTCAGAAGTTTCACCTGGGCTAAACTCAGCAGCATTTCTGTTAGGATATTTAGATGGAGGTTTTATTTTCACACTTGGATTCTTCCTCTGTACCAATATTTGCCTCCTTTTCTGTGACTGAACTGGGTTTTTCTGACATGCGTAGACTCCTAATAAAAGTATTTCTTCCTTGGTGCCTTCTCTCCTGCTCCTGGTGGTTTTGTGCAGAATGATGAAATAATTGCTCAAGATCTTAGGATCATTACAAGTCTTCCTCAATGACTGCATTCAGCAGCCTGTCAGCACATGTCAGGTTATAGAGTAACAGTGCTATGGCAAAGCAGGGCTATATGATTAACAGAAGCCTGACTTTTTCCAGCTTTACCACTAACTAGTTATGTGATGCTGGGTGAGTCCCTTTCTTTCTCTGGATTCATTAGATAATCTAAAATTTTATAGAGTTTGTTTGTTTGTGAGACGGAGTCTTGCTCTGTCACCCAGGCTGGAGTGCAGTGGCGCTCTCAGCTCACTGCAACCTCCACCTCCCAGGTTCAGATGATTCTCCTGCCTCAGCCTCCTGAGTAGCTGGGATTACAGGCGCCTGCCACCACGCCCAACTAATTTTTGTATTTTTAGTAGAGGCGGGGTTTCACCATGTTGGCCAGGCTGGTCTTGAACTCCTGACCTCAGGTGATCCTCCTGCCTTGGCCTCCCAAAGTGTTGGGATTACAGGCGTGAGCCACCGCACCCGGCCTGTTTTTAAATAGACATGGTCTTGCTCTGTCACCCAGGCTGGAGTGCAGTGGCACCCTCATGGCTCACTGCAGCCTTGACATCCCAGACTCAAGCAATCTTCCTGCTTCAGCCTCCTGAGTAGCTGGGACTACAGGCACGTGCCACCACACCCAGCTAACATTTTGTAGAGTTCTGTGCTCCTGTGACTGTGGAGTGGGTGAAGTCACAGAAAGAAAAGAGAAGATGCTCTTACAGAGGCACATACCATGCTTTAAGGCAATATGGTTCTCAACTGGAGGCAGTTTTGCCCCTCAAGAGACATTTGGCAATGTTCGAAGTTGCTTTCTGTTGCCACACTAGGAGTGCTACTGGCATCCAGTGGGTAGAGGTCAGGGATGCTGCTAAATGTCCTACAATCCACGGGACAGCCCCACAACAAAGAATTATCCTGCCCAAACGTTAGTAACACCGGTGTTAAGAAACTCTGCTTTAAGAGGATCAGACTCCAGCTTTTGCTCCTCCACTTTGCAATTCCAGGTAACCTCATGTTTAGTTCCTTTCTTGATCATCCTTCTTGCTATTGAAGAAACAAGAGTTTAATTTGCTAGATTGTACTAAAATTATTGGTTCATCTTCAAACAAATAGTGGTTACTTTATTAACTAGTATATTTGTTAGGGTTCATTTAGAGAAGCAGAACCATTGGGCATATATATGCATTATCTAATCTAATCTATATATGCAGTTTGTTAGAGACATTTGACCTTTCTCTGACCTGTTAGAGAAATTGGATGAGAAGTACTGAGGAGTAGAGCCTGTCTTTTCTGTTTGAGTACTTACACTCAAATATGGCAGCTGGAGGGTCTGATTAAGGTAGTTGTCTTCATGTCCAGTGGTAGAGCTTGAAATCCATAGGGAAGGCCGTGAAGACGGGAAGATCGTTATAAAGTGAGTGAGCAGGGACTAGGACCCATGTCAGTTCTCACAGCCTCCAACCTTCATGAAGTGGGTGTCCCGCTGCTGGAAAAGCTAGTGGCCTTTGTCATGGAACCGAAAAACACCCAGCCCAGGAGTGAGCAACTGAAGGAGGAACCAGGGAAGATGTAGCAGTTACAGGTCCAACTGTTGCCCCTCACCAGCAAGGTACCCAGCAGATAAACAGCACCATGTGTGAACTACAAAAGTACTTCCCCTGATTATGCACACTGAAACACAGGTTGGTTGCTGTTCATTTCCACCCTCCTGGTCTTGCACAGAAATATCTCCGGTGGTCCACCTTAACCAGAAACATACAGGGAAGGGAATTCTGGAAATTGCAGTTCAGCCTAGCCAAGGTGACATGATACAAAACAGTAACAACTGATCCCCACTTTTGAGAATGCATAAGTAAAGGATAGGCCTAGAATTCATGTAATTCATGTCTGTACAACTTGTATGCTGCATTGGTCATACTGATCTAGGAGGTTTTGAGCTTCTTTTTCCTTTGGAGAAGGAAGCATTACTTAGCAACATTAGGATGACCTACTGACTGTTTTGGTGTAAGGAAGTGTTTCTTGGGTTTGATGAGAACTTCCATGCCCCACATTTCAAGTGTAGAGGCTTTGCTTTTGTTTTATGTTACTTTATTTTTTTTGAGATGGCGTCTCGTTCTGTCGCTGAGGCTGGAGTGCAGTGGCACAATCTCTGCTCAGTGCAACCAACCTCCACCTCCTAGGTTCAAGCAATTCTCCTGCCGCAGCCTCCTGAGTAGCCAAGATTACAGGCATGTGCTATCACACCTGGCTAATTTTTGTATTTTTAGTAGGGACGGGGTTTCACCATGTTGACCAGGCTGGTCTCTGAACTCCTGACCTCAAGTGATCCACCTGCCTCAGTCTCCCAAAGTACTGGGATTATAGGCATGAGCCACTGTGCCTGGGTGAGACTTTGCTTTTAAAGAGATTGTGTCAGATAACAGCCTTCCTATAAAAGGGATTAGAGAAGCCAGACACAAAAGGTCACATATTGTATGATTCCATTTATATAAAATATCTGGAATAGGTAAATCCATCCAGACAGAAAGCAGACTGGTGGTTCCAGAGGCTAAGGGTGGGGCGGGATATGGAGTAACTGCTTGATGGGTGTAGGCTTTCCTTTTGGGAATATGAAAGTATTTTGGAACTACATAGAGGTGGTAGCACAACATTCTGAATGTATTGATGAATTGTTCACTTTAAAATGGCGAATTTTATGTTATGTGGGTTTCACCTGAAAAAATTTTTATTGGTTTCTTGAACACAAAAAGGAGTTGTAAACTAACTCAAGTAGTGCTAAGATCTGTAAGATATTCTAGTCTGCAAAAAAAACCCCCTAGAAATCCAGAATCTTCTTTTGGGAAAAGGAGGGTTTCATACTGCTCTAGTGTGGTACTCCTAGAAGTAGTAGAAGGAACTCATGTCCTGATATTCAGCTCAGGAAAACCTCTAAGTGGGGCTGGCCCCTTTAAGACTCAGAGACTGTAATCTGGTAGTTAAGGAGTCATAATCACAAGTTTCTTGGGTAATTCTCCTTAGAAATGTAGTTCTTACCTTCCAGGATCAGAAGTACTGAGGAGCAGAGCCAATCTTCTCTGTTTGGTGATAGATATATATAGATGGGTTTATATGACTTTGAGTTTAGTTTATAAAATCTAGATGTCCCTGTCCTAGACAGGGGACAGTGATATTTAGTTTGGGTTCTTTTCTACCCTGTGGAGAACAGAGTTCAGTGAAAGGGAAGCATTTCTTTGAAATGTGGTTCTATGTGTTCAGTCCTATTTCCAAAACGCAGGAGGGAATGGAAGGGAGAACGTCCTGGCTCAAGAATACCTGTAAAACTCAATTGCTGTTGTAAATTCATCTGCCAAAAATAGTGCCTGTAACCCGTGTGGAGAAACAACACTTTGGGTTTCTGTACAGATTTTTCATGAGTCCAGGATTCATGGGAAGCCAGTGATTAGGAATCCTCAAACACTCACACTCTAGAGTGTGAATTCAAGAGAGGTGAATTCCAAGTTCAGAATTTGGGAGTAGAGAGTTGCTGAAGCCCACCAGTGTGAGTGCTTGTGACCTGGGCACACATACCATCATACACACACCTCCTACATAGACCCTTCTTCTACCAGGACAGGGAGCCAAACTGATTAGTATCTATCACTGCAGGAAATAGTGGCTTGGAAATGGATATGCTCCAGGACCTTGAGTCCCTGCAGTTTGAGTATGGGGTTCCAGAGGAAGATCGTATCTGGCTGTATTTGCAGGGCCGTTCTCGGGGACTGATGATAGAAGCTTGTGCCCATGCAACCTTCTTCTGCAAACTATTATATAATTTGAGGTAAGCTGAGTATCCAAATTGAGGAAGTTGAACAAGAATCTCACTGCTGAGAATTCAAATGTCTTACATTTTTTTTATATCGGAGGGTAAGTTTGGCTGGTGGATTGTCGTCCTATCTTTTCCAACCCAGAGTCAATGACTCCTGGTCTGAAAGGACAGGAAAATCTATACCAGGGTCCCCTAGCTGTGGTTACATAATAAAGCATGGACTAGTAGTGATTACCTTTTAGTGGATGGATTGATTAAATGATCATTTGTTCGTCCATTCACTCATTCATCATTACCACCAGCTTGCCCTCCACAGTTGCTAATGTCTAGCCATTCCTTATCTATTGGCAAGGAGTGCAAATGGAATCAGTTCTTTCTTTTGGGGCTGAGGTAATAGTGGAATGCTCCCTTACAGGAAGGCTACCCAGGCCTTCACAGGTCCTGTGCCAATGACTTCCTTGAAACCAGGAATATTGATTTGCAGAAAAGCTCTCAGTCCAGTCTTGATTCTGATATCAATATGGCTTCAGACACTTAAATAGGAAATGTGTGTGAAGCATGTACCTATAATTAGGCTCCAGAATTCTGCAACTCCAGGTCACTCTGGGAGCATATGTCACCTCCTCACTCTACTTCTTAGTTTTTCTCTGAAGTTAGATTAATTCCTGGATGGTGGGACCAGATTTGAATTAAACATGTTTATAGATACAGCATATATCCAAGGAGGCAGGCTGCTCAGTGAATTTATGGATTGACTTACTGATAAGGATGCATAAACCTATTGGTGGTACTCAATATGACTGGTGAGGAAACAATACATGAAACTTACAGGTGGCATTTTATATTTGGAAGGATCAGGCACTAAGAGAAAGTGCTCTTTCAACCAGGAGAGAAGGCTTAAATAGAGTGTGACTTGTGTTGCTTAGAAGCAAAATCCAGAGCTTTAAGACACTGGTTTTTACAGAAATGCAGAACAAATATAAGGCTGTCATATAGCAATGAAAGTATACCTTATGTATTCAGAAGTCTGACTTTGTTAATCTTGGGCCGAGGAAACACATCCAGCACCAACAGTAAGTGCACCTCTGAAAATAGTGGTCTGAAATCTTCATCCTTAGTTTCTCAGTTCTGTTCCTTTTTGTTTTGTTGTTTAAATTTGTACCCTGAATGAACAGTTTTGTTTTTATAAACCATTTATGTTTATAAGTCATAACCTTCTTAAAAAGCCAAGTTATCTGGTTTCTCAAGTCTGCAGATTTGAAATAGCAAACTAGAAAGAATGGGCGTATCATAGGAAAGGAATGCACTCACATCTAATAGCAATAAAAATTGACAGCTGTCTTAGACAGTGGTATCATTGACAGTGGTATCAGTAAGATGAAGAAATAGGAAGCTCCAGACTTTGTAACCTCGAGACACTAACTTAACAATATATGGTCCAAAAGCCTTTATGAAAACTCCAGCAAGCACTTAAGAAATTGTAGTGCCCCGGAGAGGTACAAATCCAAGAATAGCTGCATTTACAGGGGTAACAAAAGCCATTGCAGTTCACCTAAGATATTCCTTTCCTCAAGCCAGCCTCAGGTGAGCAGGAGAAAATGCCTAATTTGTGGCTTCTCCCTTGGAGGGAAAAAGAAAAATGGAATGTTTGTCCGCTGTTCTACCTTTTGGGGGGCTGTCTAAGGGATTGGTTTCTGTCTCACATGACTTGGAGCATCGATGAGGAACCAACATATTTTGGATGAAAACAAAGGATCACTCAGTGACTTGTTGCAGTACAGAGAACTTGCAGTACTGCAGATAGATACCAGAGTGAGGAAAAGATTATGAGTCCCTGCAATAGAAACAGGCAAAACTCTTTAATTGGGAAATTCCAAACCCCGGCCCAGAGAAGACTCATTCCTGGAAAGATTTGACAGGCCCCAGAATCTCTAGTTGGGCTGATTGGGAAAGATCTTCCCCTGTATGGTGCCAGTCTGTAAAGATTGGGAGAGACCTGACTGTTCTTTCAAAAGCCCAAATCCAGCAAAAAATAAAAAGGCAATATTGCTCAACCATAGGAACAAACTACTGCAGAAACCAGCCCTAAAGAAACAGATCTATGAGATGCCTAACAATATAATCAAAATAATGATTATTCAAAATAATAATCTTAAAGAGGCTCAGTGAGCTACAAGACACAGAAAAACAACTAGGCGGGGCACAGTTTACAGATTAATTTGTAATTACAGGCCTGTAATCCCAGCAATTTGGGATGCTGAGGTGGGAGGGTTATTTGAGCCCAGGAGTTTGAGACCAGCCTGGGCAACATAGTGAGACCCTGTCTCTATGAAAAAAAAAAAAAAGTGATGAAATCAGGAAAACAATACATGAATAAAATAATATCATAAAGAGAAACAAAGAACCAAAATTTGGAGCTGGAGAGCACAATAATTGAATTGAAACAACTCACTAGAGTGGTTCAACATTAGACTTGATCACACAGAAGAAAGAATCAGCAAACTTGAAGAGCAATTATTTGAAATTATCAAATCAGAAGAGCAAAAGGAAAATTAAGAAAAGTGAAGAAAATCTAGAGGACTTACGGGATACTATCAAGTGGGTCAATATATGCCTTATGGGAATGTCAGAAGGAGAAGAGAGACAGAGCAAGGTGCAAAGAGCTTATTTGAAGGAATAATGGCCAAAAACATCCCAGATCTGAGGAAGGAAATGGACATCCAAATTCAAGAAGTTCAGAGGACTCCAATTTGGATGAACCCAAAGAGGACTACACAGAGACACATTATAATCAAACCATCAAAAGTCAAAGGCAAAGAATACTGAAAACTGCAAAGAAAAAGCAACTTATCACACACAAGGGAGTTCCCAGAAGACTATCAGTGGCTTCTCAGCAGAAACATTACAGGCCAGAGGGAGTGCTTGATATATTCAAAGTGCTAAAAGGGGAAAGAAAAAAAAAAAAACCTGTCAACCAAGAATACTATATCTGGCAAACCTGTGCTTCAAAAATTAAGGAGAAGCTGGGCACGGTGGCTCATGGCTGTAACCCCAGTACTTTGGGAGGCCGAGGTGGGCAGATCACCTGAGGTCAGGAGTTCAAGGCCAGTCTGGCCAACATGGTGAAACTCTATCTCTACTAAAAATACAAAAATTAGCTGGGCGTGGTGGTGGGCACCTGTAATCCCAGATACTTGGGAGGCTGAGGCAGGAGTATTGCTTGAACCCAGGGAGGCAGAGGTTGCAGTGAGCTGAGATTGCACCACTACACTTCAGCCTGGGTGACAAGAGCAAAACTCCATCTCAAGGAAAAAAAAAAAAAAAGGAGAAAGAAAGAGCTTCCCAGATAAACAATAACAACAAAAAACCTCATCACTTCTGGACCTGCCTTACAACTAATGCTGAGGGAATCTTTAAGTTGAAATGAAAACATGCTAGTCAACAACACAAAAGTATACAAAAATAAAAATCTCTCTGGCAAAGGTGAATATATATCCATATACATAATACTGTGATGGGTGGTACATAAATCATTTTTAATTGTGGTATAGGATTTAAAGATAAAAGCTGGCCAACTGTGATGGCTCACACCTATAATCCCAACACTTTGGGAGGCCAAGGCAGGAGAATTGCTTGGGCTTAGGTGTTTGAGACTAGCCTGGGCAACACAGGGAGACAACATCTCTTAAAAAAAAAAATTAGCTGGGCATAGTGGCACACACTTGTGGTCTCAGGTATTTGGTAGTCTGATGTGGGAGGATCGCTTGAGCCTGGAAAGTTGAGGCTGCAGTGAGCCATGATCATGTCACTGCACTCCAACCTGGGTGACAGAGTGAGACCCTGTCTCATAAAAAGATAAATAAAAAATATATATATAAATGTAAATAATATAGAAATAATAAAATGTAGAAAATAAAATTATAACTATCAATAAGTATAAATATAAATAAATAATAAAAATTAAAAATAGGCTTGGCATGGTAGCTTACGCCTGTAATCCAGCACTTTGGGAGGCTGAGGCAGGCAGATCGCTTGATTCCAGAAGTTCGAGACCAACCTAGGCAATGTGGTAAAATCCTGTCTCTACTAGAAATAACAAAATTAGCCAAGTATGGTGGTATGTGCCTGTACTCCCAGCTACCTGGGAGGCTGAGGCGGGAGGATCACCTGAGCCCAGGAGATCAAGGCTGAAGTGAGCTGTGTTCACACCACTGCACTCTAGCTTGGGCCACAGGGTGAGACCCTGTCTCAAAAATAAAAATACTGAAAAAAAACTATTACTATAAAACAATGCTAATGGATAAAAAATATCCGAAAGATATAATTCGTGAGATAAATAACAAAAAGCAGAGGCAGGGAAAGATGAAGTAGAGTTTTTGTATATGATTGACATTATCATCTTAAAATAGGTTGTTACAACTATTTTTATGATTTTTATGCAATTTCCTATGGTAACTACAAAGAAAATATCAACAGAAAAAAAGAAAATAATATAATTACAAAAAAAAAATCAGTGAAACACAAAAGAAAGCAGCAGGAGAGGAAAAGAGGAACAAAACTGCAACACATGGAGAAAAAACAAAATGGCAGTGATAAGTCTGTCTCTATCAGTAATTATTTTAAATGTAAATGGATTAAGCCCATCAATCAAAAGATACCAAGTGACTGAATGGATTTAAAAAAAAAAAAAACAACAAGATTCAACATATATCTTATCTTCAAGAGACTCACTTTAGATGTTAGGACAAAGACTGAAAGAGCATAGAGAAAGATAATTCCATGTAAATGGTAACCAAAAAAGAATAGGAGTGGTCATACTTGTATCAGACAAAATAGATTTTAAGTCAAAAACTGTCATGAGAGACAAAGAATGACATGATGATAAAAAGATCAATTCACCAGGAAGATACAACAATTATACATGTACCTAACTTCAGAACATCCACATATATGAGGCAAATATTGACAGAACTGAAGGTAAACAATTATAGCAGAAGATTTTAATACCCAAC